GATTTGCCGCGAGCGAGTCGGCAGGTCCACGTCCCTTGGAAACCTACTGCGTTTTCTCGTCGCTCTCTACAAACGGCTAAGCTTGTCCTTTTCTTGAAAAAAATTTTATAAAGTTTTACAAATAAAAAATGTTGCCATGGGATATTCACCTAATAATTTAGGCGGTGCACTTTTGAGGCACGTGTACCTTATCTTCCCTTTTTGATTTAATCTAAGAAATGAGGTATTAAAAGCTTTCGTTGTTTTTACCTTTACAGTTCCTTTTAAAACTTAATCTTTCCGCATGTTATCTTATGTTTTATTATCATCCGATTACATTCAAACTCTCGAATAATCCAATATGACACATCAAAAATATTTTCTGAAATCAAAATAATTTTATTCAAAACCATTAACATTCCTGTCCTAAACATTTCCCTTCCTATCTAGCTAAGTTTCTAACCTTAAAAAAAGTACTTTGTGACAGAAACATAAAGATTAGCGCTGGAAAAAAAGTCCTGTGTGCTTACACGCAATAGAAACATTAATACCAAGGAAAATTATAGGGTTTGGTTGATGGTTGGTATCAAACCAAGTAAAAAAAAAACAACATCATTTTATCTATATTAAGATTATAAAGCTGAAGAGTCTGTTTGCTTGGTAGAAAGCGCTAATCTCGGAAACTACTGGACCGTTTGGAAAATGTTTCCAATTCCATTTTTGTGTTGGATAGTGCATTTATTGAGGACGATGATAGGCTATAACACAACGCTACGACAAATAGGAGAGGAGCATCAATGAAAAATGTTGCAAAAACGGGGAATAATATATATATTTTTTTCATTATGATGATAATTTTCCTTTAAAAGTCCTAAAAGTACACGACTGCATAATGTATATCTTTTAAGGGTCCACAAGGTTTATCGTACACAAGTCCACCGTCAATAACGCAAGCCTAACAGCTGTATCTACTTTAGGGCTAGGCTAGTTGGTGTGTGTAATATTTATTATTATTTATTGTGTGGAGCATAAAAGAACCTCTCAATCTCCCTCACGATTTCAGCCTTAGTAGAAATGAAGTTCACGTCGTCAGTTTTAAGCTACGACAGTTGACTTTGCCAAAGTACAGATCTCTTGTAAACACTTTGGAGGCCTTGTTCTGCTTTATAGCTTCTTTAACACGATTAGTATTAAATTAGCAAAGCTCGCTAATCAATAAGACTTAGAAATCTACCTTGCATCCGTTGAGTTCTGTAACTGATAGAATACAGTATACTTAAAACATCCATGACTTACGTACAAAACTCATATTCATCATTACAAACATTTACCCCACCGGGATTCGAACTCGGGGGACCTCTTAGTAGGCAAAATCATGAAAACCGGCGTAGATGCCATTCCAGCCAGGTCGCCAGACACAAGCATCTATTGAAAGCAATGCTAAAGCTCCCAAAGCTAAGCTTACACGGCAATTTATCGAATATATCCAACACTACAGACTGTATAAGATTAGTATTAGATTATTAGTAACTACCAGGCGGCGGGGATTTTTAACTGGTCCCACCAATAATGTCCTGACGGTCTCTTAGTCCGACTAGCTTTGGGTTCGTGGTCCGAAAATTAATTAAAAAAGAGAATTACTAAGTCCAACTGACGTTCACATTTAAGGTTTATTGGCATGTGGTTCCACTGTCTCCAACTGGTGGAACTACGGCGAATGATTAATATGAAACAATGTAACGGGACAAATCGGAAAACAAACAAACGTCGGAAAAACAAGGTGGACGTCGAACTACTTTATTTACTCTTAAACATACATTAGTTAAAAAAAAACATAATTAACTCAGTTCATGCAAAGAAACAAACTACATTAATTATATAGTGTGGTTCAAAAGGAACCGGGTACGTTTGAATTCGAATAAAAATTATTTGGTTGTTTACTATAACATTCAATTTACTTCTTTTCGAAAGTTTTATTTCTGTATAGAATACGATATCGTTTAAATTGTCAGTTCGGATTGGTATAGTAGCCTGAATACGAGAGCACCGATTTTCATCACTTTTTGACATAATGACCTCTCTATCTCGACAAATATCACGAGTCAAAAAGCGATGATTGAATCACTATAAAGCTTCTGAGAACGGGCGGCAAACTGATACTTAGTAGTAGTAATCCAGAAGTTTTATTTAAATCTAAAGAAACTATAAAAATATCCACGCGGTCCAGGCAGCAGACTGCAGTTCTATTCATTATTAAAAATAAAATGATGTCTTCTTTCAGTAAAATATCCTAACTTCAATATTTAATATACTTTCCCTCTTTGTGAGGTAGCCATGGGACGTCCTGTATATTGCGTTTTACGGGTGTTGTTTAGAGTTAGTAATGAACTAATTATAAAAAATATACATATTTCAGTATTTCAATGATGGTATATTAGTTTTATGAAAACTTTTGATAGTGCATTATTTTTTGGGAAAACTCACGGAGGTTTGATGTTTTTTTTTAATAATTAGTGAGTTAGAAAATCAAATTCTAATACATTATGTTACAAAAAAAAAAACATATTTCTGATGTTATAGTAATTAATTTGATCTAATTTATTGAACCTTATTGAGAGATTCAGGTATTTGAAGTTGTGCATATTATCGTTATTTCTGTAAACTAGCTGCAGTAGAACGATCAGTACAAAAAAGGAAAATAGTATTTGCAAATATTCTATATTAACATACAATAGGAAGAATGATTCTACTGTTAATTTATATTGGAAATAGTCAAAATCTTTTCTAAGGGGGTAAATAAGGCGCTCAAAAATTACGACTTTTTGCAAAAAATGTGAAAGGGCTCTTAAACATCTAGCAGTTAAGGGCTTAAAAAATAAAAACATAGCTCTATTTAAGTCATTCTCGAAGGCCGAATGCCGAAGGCATGGGGCAGAAGTGAGGTTGTTCTAATCTGCAAAAAGTGTGAGAATACACTCTTAAAGAAGTATCGACCAATCTCCCTTCCGAGTCATGTTTATAAGTCATTTTCAAGAGTTATTATGGAGCGTTTCGTACGCAGTTTCTTTCTTCTGACCTCCTCAACACTTCTTTTTGAAAAGGCTTTAGCACCGTGGACCTCATATATACGTTGCGGCACCTTACACAGAAAATCGAGGAGTATAATCTGCCACTTTGCTTGCCGTTTGTGGACTATGAAAAAGCTTTTGATACGATCGAGTCCAGGTCACGACCGTATCTCTCCAAAGGTAACATGTAGACTCGAGGTATTTTTTAGTATGGCTACCTTCGTTTTATGACATGTGTTGTTCAGTGCAGTTATATTTATCTTTACTTTTTGACGACGATTACGACGTAATATTTTTTTTGCACCTTTTTGTTTAAGATTTTTTTCCATGCTTTCCTGGGCGTATATAATTTTTTTCATCCCACCACCTCGGAAAGTGTAATTTTGCGCTTCGAAATCTGGCTGGAAAATTCTATTTTATTCGCTTGAGCGGCAAAGTAGATTTGAATTTAGAACATCACATATAATGAGTACTCAATATAATTGTAAATTCAAAACGTCATTAAACCTATTTAATGTAACCTCTATGGTGCCAAATTTATGATTAGAACTTTTTAAATTGTGAAAAAATTTAAATTTGGAACCTTCTTGGTTTCTTTGTTTTATTTGCGTGCTTCGCGCCATTCTAGTTTTTCACGTTTTATTGCTTAAATATTTTGTCATTATAAATTGTTTTCTTTTTCATTTTGTCATTTCCTCGCTGAGGTGGGATGAAAAGTTACGTATTGCACTCGAGTGGAAAGATTTTTCACCTTGTGCTCGTTTGTTTCCCTCGCTGACGCTCAGGATTCTAATTTAGAATCCTTCGCTTGCTCGGTCATCCAAATCGAGCACGCGGTTAAAAAGGAACTTTCCACTCTTGTATAATAAATAACTATTATACATTCCTGTGTTAATTGTCTCTTTTGCTATCAATCGTTCTTAAAACTTACAGTTTTTACATCAAATCTCTCTTGTATCTACTATATTCCTTTTTTCTACTTATTCTATTCCGTCACATTTTTTTGAAGTTATACTTCTTTAGGCGCGTTATGAAAAAATGATGAGTGTGAAATTTTAAGATGCGGTCGCTTGAGCGACCAACTTCATGCGTTACTTTTGTGTTTACCGCACATTAAGAAAATCTACCAACAAAATAGAAATAGAATCTCTATTTAGTGGGTGCTAACGACTGCATTGTGAAGGCCTATCAAAAGTATTTATTAATCTGGAACAACGGAACCAAAGCGCGATTCAGGAGACTACAGCGCCATCTCTTGACCATTGGTGTAGTAGAACCAAAAACCACATCTTTATTTTTTGTAATAAAGTAACAGTTATAGATATTCATATTTATAATATTTATCCACATGTTTCTAGTTTGTATATTCGGAATACGTGTTTGAGTTTCATACAAGTGCAAATCACATATGTTCTAATAAATTATATTCAGTAGCGATTTTAATTGAATATTTTGATTATTTATTTATTTTTTCAAATTAAAACTGAACTTTATTGACTTCGTCCTTTTCCAGACTTTTTATTAATTTGTTGTAATTAATTATTTGCATGCATTTAAAAACTAATTTTAAACGATGCCAAAGAAGGATAAATTCTCACGCGCCTACATAAGTACACGCAAGCATTTTTTTTTATTTACTACTCTTACATCGTTGCTACTCACTTTTATTGCTTTCAGTTCCATATTTCCGTGCAGGTAACTTTCAGTTTAAGCTAAGCAACACCAGAGGCATTTATTTCATTTATTATTTCTAAAAAACCGGCCAAGTGTTCTAAAAGTAAATTAGTTTACACTTGATGGCAGTGTTGATGGTTCGTGTTCAAAATATTAACGATAATGTTTGACGCAGTAGCTAGTTCGCCATTACAAGCGATATAATATAATTTATTTCATTTTTACAACAAACCTGAGGGAAATTTGCATGATTTAAAGAAATAATACCCTAATCTACATAAATAGGTGATGCCCATTATCACATAAGATAAGATTTGGTTCAATTATAAAAGCAAGAATGTGCGTTTATGAATTATCATTTGTATCCCAGGCAATTTCTAAAATGCAAGTACTTATTGCTTTAGTGTTGGCCTTCACGGCGATTGCAGGTAAGTACTTACCTATACTATTCATATCGATTATGTTCATGAAATCAAGTTTTATTGCACATCACTTTTGATATATCTATCAGCTTAGTGTTATTCAGCACTGAATGTAATCTGGGAAAGAATTTCCTGGTCAATTCACAATGACCACACAATAATCTGACCTCATAATATATAGAGCATCCCACGACATTGCCACACGAAGGGAAAGTATTTTAAATATTGAAGATAGGACATTTTACTGAAAAAAGATATCATTGTATTTTTAATAATAAGTAGAACTGCATTCACAGTTTTTTTTAAATCGCCTGTCATGACCGGAAATCAAACTCGAGAAATGTGAAAAAAAACCACGTCACGTATTTTATGATAACCGTCGAAAGGGTTAATAATAATAATAGACATTTATTTCAGACTTTAAATTCATATAAAAGTGTTAGTAACAGACGAAATCTTATTCTAGTGTTAGTAAATGAAAAAAGTACAATCGAACACAAACAACTATATAATACATTCGGATTCCGATGGGACTCGTCTGTTATTTATAAATAATTATAATGACAGACTGGCGAATGTAGCTTAAGCCAGTGTCGCAATAGTGGGGAGTCCCATCGGTCAGCCAGTGCGCTCAGGACACTGTTGGAGCTGTCGCGCACGCGCGCCCACAGCGAGGCGCAGCGCTTTCTAATGATCGTGTAAAAGCAATCAATACGCGCCTCGGCAAACATAGACGACGCACTGCAATAACGCGGCAGACCGAACAACATCCTGAACGTATTATTATATTGGACTCGCAGTGCGCCATATGTCCGCTGCGTAAAGTTCACCCAAAGACCGCACGTGTAGAACGACTGACAATAAGCTTTGAAAAGCGTCAGTTTGACTCGTTTACTACACTGTGCAAAGGGGCGCTGACACCCTGCCATCCCAGCTCGAAATACCATGAACCAATTAATTAATGAATTAATCATACGGATTATTTTTTTCTAAATATCATAGCATTTTAAAAGAAAGGACTTTTATGAAATTTCACATTTTATTTATAATATTTGAACACACTCTATCTATAAATATAAAAATCAATTGCTGTTCGTTAGTCTCGCTAAAACTCGAGAACGGCTAAACGGATTTATCTTATCGTGGTCTTGGGTCGTGAGAAAAATTCGAATTCTACACTACAGCTCTACACCGAAGCGAAGCGAGGGCGGGCCAGTAGTCAACAATAAATATGAAAGGGTGCAAGTTTTTTTTTTAATTTAATTTATCAAACGATCGGTTGTGGCAGGCGGTTTACAAAAAAATCTGTGAATGCAGTTCAACTTATTGTTAAAAATAAAATAAAGTATCCTTTCTTCGATATTTAATATACTTTTCCTCCGTGTGACATGCCCGTGGGACGCCCTGTATATATCCTGTATAATGCCTAGATAACATTATTATCAAGATGAATAAAACTATATCAAGCAATTCTTTACAGTGCTATCTTTATTCCGATATAGGACAAAATAACTCTCAGGATCAAAATAGACAATAAAAGGATAAAACAACCAATATAACCTTTTACTTTCAGCCGTTCCACAAAGTCAACAAAGGATTATTGGCGGTTCTGGTACAACCATTAGCAACTACCCTGAGGTTGTCGCGTTGTTGCACTCCTGGGGAACAACAGGCCATAGGCATGCTTGTGGAGGGATAATCCTCAACAACAGATCAATCCTCACTGCTGCTCGTTGCGTATAGTACGTAATCATTATGTTTAATTTTTGACCAGGTTTATGTACACATTCCTAAAAAAAGTATAAACAATAAGCATTCCCAGAAAAATAAGAATAATTAGTTTTTTTACTTAATTTATTGGTAAAATGAAGAATAATGCGGCTTTTTTTTTAATATTTCCAACACACCAATTAGTCTCGCACCGAAGTAAGCACTGTAGGCTTGTGTTATGGGATACTATAACGGATAGAATACATATATAACTATATTTATATAGAAATATATATTAAACATCCATGACTGGAGTACAAATGCTCTTAATCATGCCCCTACCGGGACTCGAACCCGCGACTTCTCGAGTAGGCGACACCTTACTTTACTTTACCCGGCGTAAAGCACTCGGCCACGGAGGTCTTCAAACAAATAAATATTTTGGCGATATCTTTATTATGTCTTTGCTTATATTAGTAATGAAAACGTAGAAAGTTCAAAATGTAATGTGTAAAAAAAAGCGTTAGAAAAATAATGCATACTCAGTCTGAAAAAACCATAATAGCTCAAAAAAAATTTTTTTTTATAGTATTAGGTAAAAGAGTACTAAGACAGATTTTGTTGAGTACTGTGCTGTTATTGTATTTATGAACTGTTGACCCTCGACACTAGTTGACACATGACTGACAGTGACATTAAGTTTTCTATACTTGATATGCGCCAAACTGTCGTTGATGACCATGTTCACTATTGTAGATTTGGAATGTCATACTTAATTTAAAATGTTTCTGTACCGCAAAACAAAGCAATATATGGCAATTTTTGTGATCGGAGTTGACTATGATCTTGATATCTTTTATTTGTACATTATGTACAAGACCTAGCCCAAGTCCTATACAAATATGAAACATCTCCTTATTATTTAAAAACGTATTTTGATATTCGAAAGTAAAATACCTATACGTGTGTGTTTTCTTTTTGCAACAGTCAAACCTCACCTCAAGAATGGCGCACTCGTGCCGGATCAACCAACGCACATTCCGGTGGTGTCACATATTTAACCTCCTTTATCATCCAACACCACTTCTACAATATTTACAATAGAGACTACGACATAAGCATCATGCGGGTCTCCTCCAATATAAACTTTGGTACTACAATTCAACAAGCATCCATTGCAGGCCCTAACTACGTTTTACCGGACAATCAAGCAGTTTGGGTAGTTGGTTGGGGATATACAAATGTAAGTTCATCATCATCATCATCAGCCTATTAATGTACCCACTGCTGGGGCACAGGCCTTCCCTATGGATGGAATAGGGAGATTGGGCCATGACCCACCACGCAGGCCCAGTGCGGATTGGTGGGTGCTAACGACTACAGATGCAGCCGGGACCAACGGCTTAACGTGCCTTCAGAAGCACGGAGGGGCTCGAGATAGTAAATGTTTGGTCACCCATCCAATGACCGACCACTGCGAAAGTTGCTCAACTTCAACGATCGCAGCCGAACGCGCTAACCACTTGCGCCATCGAGCTCCTCAATGTAAGTTAGTTTTTTTAATATTATAATTGTAATTATTTTCGAAGTAAGGTAGATGTTCCTATTACGCTTAATTTATTTTTTTTATTTTTGGTAATCATATAATCTCCACTACACACCGTGAATTTTGAGTTATCTGAGAAACTTTACTAGTTAATTCAGACAACGATTTAGGTTATAATTTGGCAAAAAATACTATAGTATTTTATTTCGAAATGTTAACTCAATAATTGTGCAATTAAGAAACCTTAATAATATCTTGTCAATGTTACATTTCAAAAAAAATCAACATAAATATTATGAAAGATGTATCAAACATGCATATCTCGCTTACTTAGGCCAAATGAACGAAATGTGCGGTACTACTTGATAAAGTAAAAGTTATTGTTAATTTCAGGCGCAAGGTTCTCCATCTGAACAACTGAGACATGTCCAGATTTGGACCGTGAACCAGAACCTCTGCAGTGCTCGTTACACCGAATTGGGTAATATTATTACTAGCAACATGTTATGCGCTAGTTGGCTGGACGTAGACAATTATGGCAAGTGCTACGGTGACTTCGGTGGTCCGTTGTACCACAACCGGGTCGTCGTTGGCGTCAGCTCCTGGAGTCAAGGCTGCGCTCAGGCTCGCTACCCTGGTGTTTACACTCGTGTATCCAATTTCATTCCTTTTATTCAGAGCAATGCATAAATGTGTTTAAGTAATTGTCCAAAAATTTTTTTTAAAAATTCTTCGAACTTCAACAATATTTTTTCAATTTACACAATCTGAATTGCATTAACTAATTAATTAAAACTGCGTAGGATAGCGCGTTCCAGGGCACGTTTAGCTTACTATGCGTGCCCTGAACCCATATCCATACTCATAGTATCTCTTGGGGGGTACTGTTATATCGTATTTAATATTACAGCCATATAAAAATAAAAATGCTGATGCATTCCTATTGCATTTACGTCAATGGAATAGGAATCCACCTCAATCACGGGTAATTCAACCTTACTTTGAGTTAGTACAGATTGGACTCGCGTCCGGGAAACGCCTATTATTACTTTCTTAAATAAAGTAGTGTTAATTTGTGAATAAATTGTTTTTTAAATAACCTTTCCTAACCTGCCTCATAACAATACCCTTAGCTACTTTTATATGGCGTTTCACAGTACGTGTAGCCTAATAGGCGTACCCTGGAACGCGCTATCCGTGCGCAGCTTTAAAGTTATGTTTATCGTAAAATAAATAGATCATATCATTTTACATTTTTTTTGTGATTTTGTTTTGATTTGACGTTGATTTTTGTTTTTCTAGTCTTATTGTAAATAAAAAAATTAATACGTAATTAATTAAAAATAAATGTTTTATTTTTATTAGAAAAAATATCACAATTCAACTTATTTAAGTCATAACATTGCATAAATATAATTCGATAAAGAAAACTGCTATAATTCTTTGTTGTCGTCATTTCGTAGAATGAAAGTCACTGCATAAATTGTTCAAAATATCTTTATTACACGATGACTACGGTACAACTTATCGAACATATTTTATTATTTTATAAGTATCTTTAAGTATAGATAGCAAAGCATGTACGGTAGCATCAGCACAGATAAGCACTCCAAGGACACGACAGTAAAAGAAACTTTATTAAAAAAATATGATCGGAATGGGAAGTTTATTGTTTTTTTTTATTCTATATAATTTAAAAAAATGCAAAATATACAAAGTAACAGTGAAGAAACCATTTAACTATCGCTAAAAATAGCAAAATAACAGAACTTAAAAATGGCGCATGAACAAAAATTAAACATAAGCGAAGTTCAATGTACTACGTACTCTATGCTCCAAAGTCAAAAACATAATGTAAAAAGTCACTGCGGTCGGGGCACAGTTCTGTGGAACATACAATTTTACAGTATGGACAACAAAGTAGGTAGATACCAAACATCATGGCTCGTGCAAGCGACTTTTGATAGAATAGTGAATTCCGTCAAAAGTAAAACGTAATGTCACTTCAACATCATGTTTAAAAGTAAGTGTCGTCATTTTAGGCCTCGCAAATCCCAGTCGTTTTCGGACACGTGACAATAGATCAAAAAATCCTTTTTTATTTCATGATTTTTAGTAAAATTATCAACTACTATTTTCATGGCTCTCCATGTGACGCCACCTGCCTGTAATATGTCATATTTGAAAACATGATTTTTATTTTCGGTTTTCACTGACATACGCACAAACCATAGATTCTGTTCTCTGTGGATGTACGCAACAGAACCACTATACACTTATAAATAACGTACAAACGCTTTCAAAAACTTGCTAAATATCCTATGGTCTAATCTAAAGAAGAGACCTTTACTTGAATCAGACATTTAAAGTTTATTAAAGTAATTAAGTTTTCTTACTACAGTATCTGCAGTCACCCGAGGGTACTAAACAAATATTGGATTGATTTCAATACTATTGAATAGAAATAAATCACTTATCGCGAGACAGTTTAGTTATATTATATTAACATAGTAAATACATTATTATTCTTATCCATTTATCTGTAGGACACTGTTTATTTTTGTGCTCGCGGATACATCTTTGTTTAAACTATCTTGGTCGTAATTGGCTACGCTTAATTTGAGTAACTTGAATCCGGTAATGTCCGGTAGTGGTTACGAAAAGTGTGTTCGCAAGCAGTAAGTGTATAAGCAAGAGAAAGTAGTGCACGCGGGCATATTCTTTCTCTCTTTCTTCTTTTAGCTAGTAAATGAAATATGTAAATGTACGTGCATGTATATATATATTGAACATATATATTTATATGTCATCATCATCATCATCATCAACCCATGTTCGTCCACTGCTGGACATAGGTCTCCCCTAATGCATGCCACTGCTCCCGATTTTGTGCTACTCTCATCCAGCCCACTCCAGCCAGCCTACGAATATCATCATCCCATCTTGTCTCAGGGCGTCCTACACTACGTTTACCGAGTCGCGGTCTCCACTCAAGAACTTTCCGACTCCAACATCTATCAGTTCTGCGGCTAATGTGACCAGCCCACTGCCACTTCAGTTTGCTAATTCGGTGGGCTATGTCGGTGACTTTGGTTCTCTGTCGGATTACATCATTTCTGATGCGGTCCTTCAGGGATACTCCGAGCATAGCCCTTTCCATAGCTCTCTTAGCGACTCTAAACTGGTGGACTCGTCCAGCCGTGAGTGTCCACGTCTCGGCGCCGTATGTCATAACTGGGAGGACGCACTGGTCGAAGACTTTCGACTTGAGACATTGAGGGATGGGTGACGAGAAGACTTGACGAAGCTTACGAAATGCTGCCCAGCCTAACTGAATTCTTCTATTGGCTTCTCTCTCGAAGTTGTTTTTGCCTAATTGGAGCGTTTGTCCTAGATAGACATATTCCTGAACAACCTCGAGAGGTACTCCATTAACAGCAACCAGTCCCGGATCAACGAGCTCGTTGAACATGACCTTGGTTTTATCCAAGTTCATCCGGAGACCGATGCGTTTGGAAGATTCAGCCAGGCTGCTCACCATCTCCTGTAGCTCTTGCAGGGTTTCAGCCAGGATGACGATGTCGTCCGCGAATCGGAGATGTGAGATGTATTCGCCATTAATATTTATTCCACTTCTTTTCCAGTTGAGCGTTCCAAACATGTCCTGCAGCGCAGCAGACAAGAGTTTTGGGGATATTACATCCCCTTGTCTCACACCACGGCGCAGCAGGACAGGCTCGGTCTGAACATTCTGGAGTACGACGGACATATTAGCGGCGTCATAAAGACATCTCAGCACCTCGATATATCGCCAATCAACTTGGCTCCTATGCAAGGCCTCAAGAACAGACCAGGTCTCGACGGAGTCAAAAGCTTTCTCATAGTCCACAAACGCCATGCAGAGGGGCTGGTTATACTCTTTGGTCTTCTGTATAATCTGCCTCACTGTGTGAATGTGGTCTATGGTGCCATAACCCCGTCGGAACCCAGCCTGCTCCGCAGGTTGAGCTTCGTTAAGTCTTCGTGCAAGGCGATTCGAGATGACTCTTGAAAACAATTTATAGACGTGGCTCAGGTGTGAAATTGGTCGATAGTTCTTCAGTAAGGTCTTGTCGCCTTTCTTGAAGAACATTACGACCAAGCTCCGGTGCCACGCCCTGGAGTTCTCCCGGAGAAAAGAACAGAGTTAAATATACACCGGAGCTCCTTCAGCACCGGCTTGCCGGCAGCTTTCAGAAGCTCGGTTGTGACTCCGTCCTCTCCCGGGGCTTTTCCATTTTAAGTTGCCCAAGAGCCGCCTCGATCACCTCTAGGTCGATGTCGGGGAGATTCTCCGTCACATGGCGGGTTAATGTGGATCTTAAACCTCTCTCATCGGACGTAGGGTGGGGTGAGTGCGACGTATATAACTGGCTATAATAGGTGTAAACTTCCGAAAGAATCTCTGGTTTCGACGTGACGATTTCTCCACTTGTTTTGGTCAACTTCGTAAGGTGGCTCCTTCCAAGCTGTTGTACGAAGACTTATATTTATATGTAATTTTTGTAATTGTAATTTTATTAAATTTTTAGTAACTTTGTCCTACCGCCATACTATTTGTCTTCAACACGCTAATGGCTGACTGGTAGAGAATGCCAATGACATTAAGTCCGCCGTTTGCTTATGTTTGGCAATGAAGTATAAATAAATAAAAAATAAATAAGTAGTCAATTGGATCGTCAACATAATTAGTTGCGTACGGATAGCGCGTTCCTTTGCTACGTGTAGCCCGGACACGCTAGCTACGCGTTCATTGGATATCCTTCAGCTCCTGCGCAGACCACCGCGAACCTGAACGCGATCCTCAGCGATCTACAGCACTACACTAGTCCCGTCAATCAATTGTTATTCACTATTGAAACTCGATGCGTCCATTTTGCCGTCCAAATACATTTGACGTGCGATCAAAAACCTACTGACGGTAGCACGCCAGCCAGCGACAGCGTATTTCCAACATTAAGTGCGCAACGAATGTACTCCGAATTGGATAGAGAACGAATTCATGATCGTTTTCAACTATGATTCAAGCTGCATTGAATTTAATAAATATGTTAAATCATATAAAGATAAGTATGATGTGAAGCAGTGGGCATAAATAAAAATAATACTGGAGCAATCACCCTTATTTATTTCAATTGGGCAGACTCTTGTCTTCGTAATCAGATCGTATCGAGCAAATATCAGCATACGCAACCTTATATTGGTTAAGAACTAGCTTTGTTACGCCTAACTATCACTGGCTCTCGAGCATCACTCTCATAAGTTTCAATATTGCAACGTGACCTAGAACTTCTAGCAAACATAAAATTGTAAGGTTTGTATTTTGAGTATTATTTACACCCCAAGGAGCATCGGGTAAGAAATTAGCCCAATTATTGGCAGTTTTAGTAGGATCAGTGGCACGCAAAGCATTTGGGCAAGCAATGTGAGTTAAGATGTGCGTGTTTGTCCCTAGTAAACTTTTTAAAATATCTACTTGTGACAGCCTTTCCATGGACATCAAGTTTGACACTGGCAGTGGATGAAGTCAAACTCCTACTAAATCACAACAAGATTTACGAAAAAATCGTGTAACTTAACAGCACATACATCAAATCTTACATATATACTGGCAATCCAGTCAATGTTCTCTCCACTCACGTTTCGAAACTGCTCAACCTCGGAACTAGTCCAACCTACTATTCTCAAAGGTTTTTCAGGACAATATTTAGCAAGCCGCGGGAAGGTAGCTTTCGATCTAGAAATAGATGGGAACTGTATTTCCTGTGAAGCTCATTTAACAGAAATTTATATGGGGAATATCCACTTACTAATTGGTCAACCCACCATCAACAGCGACAAAGGACAGATCACTTTAATGGTCAGCGAAGGAAAAGTCACCTTTATAGAATAGCAGGACTTCACAAAACGCGTGGATATAATCGAAGATTGAGAGAGCACTCGCTCGTCACTGCAGAAAAGAGTGCTATTCACCGGGATTCTCCATTATCAAAGTTTGCGTGCTACACAATGATCCATTTTGCATACTAGCCTAATAGCATCCATATTGCATACTAGCCTAGCCAATATTACTACCGGTAAACATCGATGATATTAAAATATGTCCATTATATGAAAACGGACATGTTTTTACAGACATATATACAACTGTTGTATATGAGGGGTATTAATAACGGCAACAAGTAGACGCTTGAAATATTCCAGATTATTTAGTTGTATATTTTCTTAAAAAATAAATAATTAAATAAAAACTAAAGGAGTGTTTCCATAGATCGGACATGATTTTATGTCGTTTTTTCTAGATATTATAATATAGTATCTAATTTTGTATAAATAAAAGTACGGAAACCTTCGTGCGCTAGTCCGATGCGCAACTGGTCGTGTTTTTTAAACATACCATATCTTCCAAATGTTTGAAAATTTGGGTATAGTAATTTTTAGTGAATAAATAATCGAAAAAAAACCTTAGATAAAGAAAACAAATAGATAGGTACTTAACACAAGAAATAAAATAAAAATTGTTGGTAACAGATAGATCCGCCAAATTGGTTGGTAAAATTCTATATAAATATGAAGAGAGAAAGCCAGATCTCAAGCACGAACTTTGACAGCTCCGTAATCGTATCGCATCGTCAAAGTTTCCTACCGGACGTAAGAATAAACTGGCTCCTACCATACAAAATATGACGATGGCGATACGATTGCGGAGCTGCCAAAGTTCGTGATTGGGACTCTGATTGACTGATTTATCAACGCCCAGCCTAATTCATTGGTCGTAGAGTTGAATTTTAACTCGGGTGTTGTCTATAAGACGGGGGATTCTGTAAAATAAAATCTCACTTCCGATTTCGGTAGCTGCCATTTTAGACATAAGTTTGATATGCATTACGCAATTACACGGCAAAATGTCGCTATATCTGTAGAAGCAGCAAGTATTAGATATTTGACATTTGTCAGAAA